TACTCTCAAATTATATCCCTCCTGGACTTTCCATTGCAGGCCTTTCCAAAGCAGGAACTCCACAGACTGCCAATTACCAGCGCAATGTCACTGTCAGTCAGGTCATCTCAGCGCCTTTCATGCAAGCCGCAACCACTAGACTATTTTATCAAGTGCTGTGCACCCTCCACAGTGGCACAAATTACTGACATACCTGGAGGCATGCAGAGCAGACATCACATTCGGTGAAATAGTTCAGTGGTTGCTGTCTGCATGACAGGCGGGGTCTTCCCACACAAGTGAAGGAGGTCCCCACTGGGCAGTTTGCATTCTTACACACCCCACTACCCACTTGACTACTCTTTGTGTGGAAGAGCCCAGTTCCTTGAATCTGCCAACCACTGACACAAACAGCTTGAGAACCACCTGAAGGATCTGGTCCTGCTGGAAAAAAAAACCAAAACAGTAACCCCCTCAAAGACAAATATTACTGTCTTATTAACAGCTTGCCCCTGAAAAAAAAAAAAAGTAGTATTGACAGGAAACACACAAGGGCAAAGAGCAGACCTTGACAGCATAGGACTCTCCCACTCTCACAGGCAAACAGCAACCACCATAAACCAACGGTTTCTTGGGTAGATGAATAAGGCGTGCAATACTCCAGGTTGGCATATGAGACTACTGAAAAAGAATTTATATTCCACTGTAGGCCTGGGTACTTCAAAAGCAGCTTAAACAGCTTGAGAACCATCTTAAACAGCTGATTTACTATTTCAGGATGACTGTGAGAAGAGCAAAACTTCATTTTCTGGAAAAAGATGAAAGAGAATGACAGCCAGAGAAAGCAATAGAGAGACCAGACTCCTCTAGCTCAAGTAAATGGTCCAATGTGATTGGCGCTAAGGCCATCTCACAGGTGATGGTAAGCTTTGTGTGTTTTCCTGTAGGCATGTGGGAAAGAACGGTCCTGCCTCACTGAAGCCTCCAAAGGACTTCTAGGAGAAAAGTGATTCTCAGGTGTCTGGAGGCCCACACAGTGACCAAGACATAAGATGCAGTACCACAGATAACAATTGAGGGCTGCCTTCTGCTGTCTGCTTGGCCTTTGGAAGGTAAAGGGACTCAGCAGCAGACACGGAATGCAGAGATCCTGCTCAGTGCCTGTATGCTGGAGATGGAGGTACTGCAATCTCACAGTGGGGGTTGTAGATGCTTTCTCCCTCTTGCCCATTAAATGTCTTTACACGAATTAGATAAAAATAATGAAAGTCCGCAGCTGCCTTCTTGATGCCAAGACCCAATTTTGAATCAGTTCTGAAGAGGGGAAAAAAGCATTTTGTGCTGAACTCCATGTCCCTGTTCCAAGGAGTCAAACTTACGCTAATGTTCAAGCATACAGAACACGCTGGCTTACGGAAGTGCCAGGATACAGCAGTGCAAATGGACTGGGATGGCTGTGAGGCTACTTTAAAGGAGCCAGAAGCAGAGACCGTGGTTCTAGACATCACTTGATATTGAGCGGATAACAACAGTGCTTCTGTTTTGGCAAGGATGGCTGTAGAAGGGCCAAGAAGTTCCAGTCAGAGATGAACAGATTTTCCTCAGGCAGTCTGCATCTTTAGCCATGATGGAGGTAAGGAAAAGGGTCTGGACCACCTCTTGCATTAGCCTTTGGCTTTCTTCAGGACTGCGTCCCACAGAAGTGTCAATGCTGAAGGACTGAGTCTTATGTAACACTTCTACAGCTGATAAGGAAAATCCTTGGACTGAGGAGCCTCAGGGTATGCCAAACAGGGCAATAAGGGTGACTGATCTCAGTCTCCTGTAAGGTGTTTCTGAGGAACAGTGTGTCTTTCTCACACACACCGTCCAGCAATTTGTAAGATAACAGTCACTGTAAATACTGCAGGCTGGCCTTGGAGCACCACAGTTGGAACACTGGGATCCAAAGAAGGTGTTAGAGTCAGTTTCAGGACACAATTGCAGAGCTTGGACTCCACCTTTTTATCGCGGTGGCACTCACTGTATATCAGCAGATGATAGACCGGTCAGGCTCACAATCCTTACTGAAGTAAAAGAAAAAATTTGGCATTGAACCCACTACACTTGGATGCAGCTATTGCACAGAAATGAAGGGTAGCCTTTGATTATCTCCTGAAATCCTTTAAGTGTTCAATCTAAAAGACAACTAAGAAGGACATTAAATTATTCAAGTTATATTAACATCTAGCTATCTCTAGTCTACTGCTGTTCTACCCTACTTGAGAAACAGGGAAACAACAGGGAAAACAGCCAACCACTTTACTTACTGCTTGATGACAAATGGTGTAAACGAGCAAAGGATCAAAATTTAAGATCTCTAAGACCTACTATACTATACTCGATTCAATTCATGGAGCTAACTCCTTATGACATATCTTACTATAATAATTGCACAAAATTGCTTTGGTCTGATCACACTATCACAACGTTTGTGTACACATTGAGAATTTTCAGTTCTTATATGCATAGTCAAACAAAATCACCAATATAAAATGATGTATCAGCTAAGATTTATACTTAAGATACCACTGCAATGCTGCTTTAGTATATAGAGAAGTGTACAACATTGAATTACAGTGAACTGCATAGGTGTCTTGGAGCCAATCCAACACATTTCATGAAAGCTGGAAAACTTAAAAAATAATCTGAAAATATGAACAAGAATTCTAAAACTGACCACTTGCTTTTTTATTATCCCTGTTTATATAAGACAGGAAAAAACCCCTCAGGCATGTCCTTACCCCTTCCTTTTAGGAGGCCTATGTACATGACTCCCATTAAAATCTATGAATATCTAAAGCGATGTGGATTAAAAAAAGTGTTCATGGATGAAGCATGACAGCTTAAACCACCTTAAATGGTCTACAGGTCTCCTCTACCCGCCCGAAATACACAGATGTGTGGACTCTATGAGCATAAATAGATGGAATAGCTGCAGCAGGAAACAGGACGGTTTGACTAGCATTTCACTTTGAAAGATGGAGGATTTTCCTTGCAATCTGCAAGAGTCCTGTGGAGGATTAAGATCTACAAAGAACACATCTACTGTAAATTACTTGTTATCACCTACCTCCAAGTTTATTATGATTTTGTCACACCTAAACACCCACAACCATACATCCCATTCCTCTTGCCCCCAAGAAACACAGTAAAGAGCAGGGGTGGGAAAGCACTCCAAGAGATTAAAAAGAGAACAACAACAAAACAAAAAACAACACACAAAGGTGTAAGATTTTATCTGCGTTACATTTTCTTCGTCTAAAAATTCTACCCAATAATCTAATGATAAACAGCTTCCTTAGTACCACACTATACACAACTTTGTTGTATGAACGAAATGGCAAATATGATTATTCTACACAACCTAAACATAAAGCTCTATGTGCAATTAAGACATCAATTTATACTCATGTTCTCAACAAGCTTACTTAAAGGCATGGAAGAAAAACCTAAATCAATTCATAGCTATAATTTATTAATACTTAGGCCTCACCATCACCTGACTTTGCTGCTCCAGCCACTTCAAAGTGCTAAATAGCACAATCCACTGATGACAAAAGTCTATGTTGAACAGATGGTCTTTCAAAAATATCAACTGCTTTAAATCTAACTACTCGGACTTATTTAACTTTATCTTACAGTTCTCTATGTTTTTCACAGTGCAGATTGTAACAAGATACCCCTTGTAAGAACAACTGGTGCACAAAATACACTGGAACGTTAAATGATGAAGCCAATCTTGCATAAGAACAAGAACATTCTGAAACCTGGCGAAATTCAACCAAGATTGATCACAATCTTCAAACAGTGGATCTTCAGGTTTTATGAAAACTTTTCTGTTCTTCTCTTGTTAATTACAATGCAACAGAACTGCCTGCCTCCTACGATACATGGCATTCATTTCACCACTATCAACAAAACAAGAAACAGGTTGCAAGATCAAAAAAAAAAATATTCAGGTTCTGAGCTCATGATTTAACCAACTTATCTTAACGTGAAGAATAAAAGCTTATTTAAATTACCCTGAGGAAAACACAAATCCTTTGTCATACAGATACACAGAAACAATTTACAGAGGGGGCGGGGGAAAATCCCACTTTATTATTTCAAACCATTAGTCAACAGTCACTTACTGCCTCCTTAACTGCAGTCATGCTTAGTCCAGTAAGATGATAAACTTTTTAGTAATCAAGCAAGTAGTGAATTCATACTTGGTGACACACTCAGTTTCCGTACTGAATAAAAAAGCCCTGACCTAAATGCTGCCCCTTTCTGTCTTCCTTCCAATGACGCTAACTATATCTCTGCAAAAACAAACCCCAATGAAAGCTCGAGGACCTCTCAATGGAACCCCAGTGACTGAGTCTATGCCATCCACCATTCTTCTCTCATCACCTATAAAGCAAAACCAAAACTCCAACTGAAAACCAACCCTGCCTGCCATATGCAACAGCAGCCCCTTTCAGTCCCCAAAGCCCTGCCAGAATTTACAACTCTGAGTTTTCACATCAGTCATAAACATTCAAGTCTGAGTGTACTGCTTCTCATGTTCAAAACTTTCACATTATACTATGTGAAAAATGCTATGTAAAAATTACTAAATACCAAGCTAAACAGAAACAAGTCCCCTTTGCCACCTCTTTTCCAAGAGAAAATATTTTTTGTAAACAAGCTTTCAAACACAGGCTACAGACTACCGATAAGAACAATTCACAAAAGCCTGTCAAGTCATACTCCTCCATCTCCCTTGCCAAACTGCATTATAGGGAGCTAAAATTCTTCTCCCGTAAGAGCTTTCCTGTTTAAGCAACTGCTGCAGTTGCCACAGGTATGTTACAGTAAGTCAGACATGTGACCCAGGACAGTATGTCTTCAAACATTGTACCTATAATGAAAAAAAATTAAACTATCATATACTCACACTGACCTACCAATAAAACACCGCACAATACCGATACTGTTAGTTTATTCCAACTTACCATTGAAAGGCATTGTAATGGAAGTAGACCAAACCAAGGCCATATAAAAAGGCAGCATTCTGTAAAGGAAAGAAACAGTGTTTAAAATCCAGGTAAGACAACCATACGCTGCAAGACAGAGTTACCAGTATTTTATTCATCCTTTGACATTCTATTTCCATTATAGGCTAAACATATTTAAATTTCACCTCGAACAGGAAAAGCCAAAAAGAAGGAATTAAAAGACAGGTAGACATTAAGGGGAAGAAATAAAAGGAAAAAAAAAAGAACTGATTCTCCACAAAATATTTTAGGAGGAATAGTACTCAAGTACTTTTACATCAGAGAAACTGATGTGCTTTGTTCCACTTGTGCAAGAGCAGGGAAGGAAGTGACAGACTAGAGGTCTTTGGCAATGTAATATAAATAAAAAAAATGCTTTATGACCAAACATCATTCATAGCTATAATTTATACCCACATAAAAGCAAACAAAGCTACATGCTCTCATTTCAGCATCTAAAGTAGAACATTAATTATATGAATCTGAATATATACTTAAGGGAATTTCATTTTTATGAACACAAAATAAACAGACCATCGTCTTCAAACCTAAGACAACCATATTTCTTCATCGTTAATCAAATTCCTATTTTCTATTCCCTACTTTGCGGGGGGGGGGGGGAATAAAAAAAAATAAAACCCCCACTACATTCTCCTTCTGGAAACCCATCTCTTCCTCCCCCTTTTCTCTTCCCAGAAAAGTATGATTTCCTTCTAAAGTGACATTACCAAAGAGGTTTAATGAATATTTAACTATCCAATTCGACAAATAATTATTACGTATTTCCTAAATTCGGAAAAATAAACAAATTGCTTTTTGATTTAAAAGCTATCCCACAGCACAGTTGTTTTCTATTTAGCAGAGCTATCCCATTATTTACAGGAGACAAAATGTAAATGCTGCCTATGACACATTTTTAGGCTTTTCTTATGTATGATTCTGGTTTTGAGAGACCAGGAATACATCTCAAAGAACACAAAGCTCTGACACATGGACAAGAGGTGGAATTTTCATTGTTGAAGACTCTAGTTCAACATAACCCCTCTTCCACTTGCACAAGTCAAATTTCTACAGAATTCCATGAAAGGAATCCCAGTTATGTCTTATATCCAACCCAAATATAAAAAGGCCTAACCAAATTTCTCCTAGAGAATTACCGGTAACCAGAATACAATGCAAAGAGCAGCATTTATCTAAAACAGGACCCAATATTACCATTTCATTATACCTCATTTGCATCTTCTAAATGCAAATTAAAACCAGGGGAAATGCCAAAGATCCTTTCATGAATACAGTTGAATCATAGCTTCAGCAATGGACAGCTTCCGAAAAAATGCTGTGCTATGACCAGATACTACGGCAATCAGAGCTTTAATACTACTATAAAACCACATTCCTGTTCAATTGAACAAAACCACAACATGGACATCATAAAGATAAAAGATCTTGAATTCTGTACCCCACATATTTCCTGCTTTCCAAGCGTGCTTGGGCAACAACAGACTAGGAAAGAAGGAAAGCTCAAAAACCACGCATACATAATGCCTTGATTTATTAGTCATTCTAAATGAAGAAGATAGAACGGGAGATTTTCACATGTGCAACATGGAAGCCTCCAAAATACAGCACACACCTAGTAACCTTTATTGTGTTTGGGTCAGACTCATTTGTAGAATAGAACTTAACGAAACTGTCCAGTGTTACCTCAGAGATCCACCAATTGCAATCAAGACTAGATCATCGCAAAGATTGAGAATAACAGTAATAGGAAAAATCCTCCATCACCACACTGCAAAATTCAAGCAAAATACGCCAGACAACTAAAACCTCTTCAATCTTCAAAGAATTTAATATCCTCTTCAGGAACTTATTAGAATTCACAGTCCAAACAAGTTACAGGTTCCAAAGATTAATCCAGCTGATATCTGGGTTAATAATAATGAACTTTCAAGTCACAACAGGACCAAGATGCAGGTGATTTGTCCAAATGTAATTAATATATCAAGTCCACATGAAGCTTTCAGGTTGTTGCTGCCCGAGTCAAACAGAAATCAACCATTACTGTTCTGTCCTTTTTTGTGTGATTGGTTTTCCCATCTTCCTCTCAGTCTCATTTGGCCTTCCAAAGCATTTGAGACTGACCTTAAAAATCTGTTCAAGTGCCACTGCCTTCTCAACAAAAAACAGGTCAAGATTTAAGACTCTGTAATACTTTACTTCAAATGTAAAGGTGCAAATTCTGAAATGTCAGTATGGATCATATTTATCTGTTCTGAAATACTATAGGCTCCAACCACACGTAATACTATCAGGTACTGCTTGTTGACTGTTCACTAGATTTGTTTTAATAAAGCTATCTTTTGATCTGTGTTTGAACCTGGATAGGACTTTCACAAGGACTGGAAGACATTGCAGTGTTTTAATGTATACAGTATTTCCCCACAAACAATTCAAGGTGAAATGCACACAAAGTTAATCACTTCAGCAACTAACTTTTCTGCCTGTGTTGCAGAATACCATCAAGTTCCTACTGGCAACAGCCAAGCTCCTACTGGCAACAGCCAAGTTACTACTGGCAACAGCCAAGATGAAATGCTAGAACAGCTTAGTGCATATCAGGACCAAGAGGGGTCACTACCTGAAATTTTCACTACAAAAATGTCCTTTTTCTTAACATCATAAGATTCTGTGACTCTGTTTACCAGGAACACACCCCATCTTAAGAAACCCGCTTTCAGTTGCCTCTGTTATTTTTACTTGGACAAGTTTATCACAAAAAATATCCATCCCATGTTTTCCAGTAAAGATTACTTTCGTAATTTAATCTCTGCTATTCAGAATTCTGCTATAAAAAGCTGGTGAATACAAGCCCACTTCCTTCCCACCAAAGTAAGAAGCAGAAATCAAAATTATCTTACTACAATCCTTTCCTTGAACTTCTTAACAACCCTCACAATTTCCAAAGATCTCACACTAACAAAACTCACTCCTTGGCTCCTAACTTCTAATGTAATTTTTATGTTATCAGATCTCCCTCTCTACTATAATCAACAGTAAATTGAAAAAAAGCTGCAAACCGAAACAAAGTGTACCTCAAAACTGAAGTTGAATGTATGGGCTTTTTCATTCTACAGCCATGCTATTAAAAACCAAATTAGAAATGCTGTTTCCAAGCGGATGTCATTTACATTTTCTACAAACTACCGAAAAATGTTAAAATGTTTCATACCAACCACTAGATGGCTCAAATACCACTTTCCACTGTACACGCTTATGCAATTTAAGACGACTGTCAAGTTCATATCGTGTGTTCTGCTACTTATATGCACTATTTAATGCCTACCAACATATTTTATTGATAGGCAACTCAGAAGGCAAAAATATATCTCTATATACCTTTTTATGTAACTGAGATGAGTAAGCATGTAGAAGACTTTTTGGTCTTGTTTGTTTTAAGCAATCAAGAAAAAAAAAAAATAAAGCAACCAATAAGGAAAATTCCACCCATCTCGCAGACCTTCTGTATTAATTCAAATAGCTGGTTTATTGTCTCTTTAAAGCAGCTGATGGAAACAGATCTCAAACATTTCATGTGCTCCGTTCTCTAGCCATTCGAGGTCAAGTTCTCAACAAAGCCTTTTTCTCCATCCTCAAGCATGCAGTCAGTGCTTCCAGCAGAAAGATATCAGATTAGACCATTGCAGTTACACTTATCTGTAAACACAGGGTCAGAAAAACACACCTGTCCCGTGTAGCAAGTGGCCATACTCACATTCAGACTTATAAACGGCCATCTTTTGACTCCAGAAATGTATAGCTACCACATCCGAGTTCAGTTATTTTTCACCAGTAACATGCTTGTCTACCACAAGCAGCTGAGACCCTGTTACTAACTCCATACATACACACAGGAGCACACAAAGAAGTTACACTTGCAAATGAAAATCTGTTTGGCAGGCACTTCTAGAAATTCAGAGAGTAGAAAAAGCCGTTGAAGAGCCAAAGCAACCTCAGTGCAGCATCCAGTCGGGACCTTGCAACTTGAAAATGAATAGGAACAGTTTTTGCCACAGTTTTGTGGCATTGCTGATTCAGAAACATTCCCTAACACTGCCTCTCATTTTTGCTGACAGAGTCTTTTATAGAGTACTACAGCCAACTGGATGCCAGAACCATCTGAGTTATTAATATTCAGATAAAAAAGGATTATCTTTATCTAAATCAGTTCCCCAGCCAAGTTCACTGTGTAGTCCCCCCATAAACAACTGCATTAGCACAAGTGAAAAAGTGGAACGTAAGCAAAATAAGTAAAAGCTCTTTAAGCCTACACTGCTTCCAACAAAGTGCGTATCAAACCTGCAATGACTTTTCAAACAGAAAGAGTGAAATCCTAGATAAAAGATTTAAACAGGCAACCTACATTCAAAAAAAAGAAGCAACCTTTATTGCCTAAGCCACGCATAAAATGTTCGACTTGAGAGAAAACAACTTCTATGGGTCAGTACAAGATGGATAAAAACATGAAATAATTAAATTCAGCACCCTTGCGAGACCAGTGACTGTTTTTCATTTGCTTACTACTGCCAGGAATCAAAAAGTCATCAAAGACATATTAAAATTGCTTCCAGCAGGGCTCTGAACAACCCTTCCGCAGCTGCCCAAGCTCCAGTGGAACCTGCAGTCCAGCCCATGTCACCACAGCCTGCAGAAGACACACGTGGGCAAGGGGCCACTACTCTTCAGAAAACCTAACTAGGAAAACAAAGTTTAACAGTTTACATCGGATCCCATGGTCACAGGGTGTCTCAGCCAGCTGCTCAAAGCAAAAGAACAGTTTTTGTGTTCAAATGTGTGAATATGTTTATTTCTTTACTGAAAAAATGAAAGATGATGTTTTGACACTATGGTGCCTAATACTTTCCCCTGACACTACTCATATATTTACAGTCCCCTGGAGAGTATGTACCACATGAAAAATTCCACTCAGGCTCCTGTGCATAAACAGCTATATGCCTTT